AACCCACTATCTCCACCACCCACCAACCAACCCCATGTCACCCCTCCCAAGACCTCCCCCTTCCCCTCCTCCCCCTTCCCCTCCCCCTTCCCCTCCCCCAGCCCCTCACCCTCCCCCTCCCCCTCCCCCTTCCCCTTCCCCTCCCCCTCCCCCCACACTTCCAGCTCTATTTCCATGACAGCACTGAAGCTCTCCCTCCCAGTCGCATCCCAATCCCCATCCGCCCTCGGCATCCACACGGCCCCGCTAAAAGACGAAGGCGCCGCCCGCACGCGCACGCGCAGGGCGGCCGTCGGCGTGCGGGCGGCGAGGGAGAAGTGGCCGGAGCAGGAATCAATGGTGGGGGGAGAGAAGGAGGTGAGGGGATCGATGGATCGGAGGTCGAGGGAGTGGTGTGGGGTGCGGAGGCCGAGAGAGAGGACGAGAGGCGAGGGGACGGAGGGGAGGGAGGCGAAGCGGAAGAATGCCCCTGCTCCCACTAGCTGTGGGGAAGAAATAGGCCAACATTGGGGCGGGGGTGCGCCGGGGAGGGAACAGGGATGGGGTGAGGGAGAGAGACGATTGTGGAAGATGATGTGAGTAAAGAGAACAGGACAAAGGAGAATGCATGTGGAAAGTGTGGGTTAACTGGTAAAGGAGGTGAGGGGCCCAATGGATTGAAAGTCGGCGAAGAGGTATGGGGTGCGGAGGCTGAGAGGTGCGGGGGCTGAGGCCCAGCAGGGAAGTACGCCCCCCAGTTCATCTCTCGACCTGTACGGTTTCACCTCACCTGTACGCTGTTGTCAGATGACATGCCCTGCATCCACACGTGTCCAGCAGGGAAGTACGCCCCCCAGTTCTTCTCCTCGTGCGCCCACCCACTCCCCTCCACCTCCACCCCCTCACTCTCATTCCAGAAGCGGTAAGAGGCGGCTGAACCCAGGCTGCGAGCATAGGGAGTAAAAAATAGAATGCTTTGTGAGTATATCAGCTATCTCAACCCCTCCCCACCCCCCTCCACCTCTACCCCCTCACTCTCACTCCAGAAGCAGTAAGAGGCGGCTGAGCCCAGGCTGCAATGCAAGCATGGGGAGTAAGAGGGGGAGGTGATTCGAAGTATATCAACTATCTTAACCCCTCCCCACCCCCTCCTTTCAAGAAGTATGAAGACGTGGATATCAGGCTGAAAGGAGGGTGGGGAAGAAGAGGAAAAGATTCGTTTGAGAATATTACCTCTCTCAACGCCTTCCCATCCCCTTCCTCCAACTCCTCCCCCTCACTCTCAATCCAGAAGCGATGCGAAGCAGCATGCCTTTAAGACCCAGGCATGGCAGCTCGCCCAACCCCTTGGGACTCAGTTGAGACACCGATGCCTCCTACCCCTCCTGCAGGCTATTTTTCTTTTAATTCTCAAAAATGCCCTGCAGTATCATGGACTCAGTTAAGACACCGATGCTACCCATCCCTCCAGCCAGACCTTGGTTGGGACTGACAATGCGTACTAAGTCGAACCAACACCGCCCACCTGTTGATAAACCAGCGGCACGGCATGGCAGCTCGCCCAGTCCCCCAGGAATCAGCTGTGACACTGATGCCGCCCACCCCTCTGACCGCACCTTGGAACTGACAATAAGTACAGAATCAACTCAAGCAAGCCCACCTGTTGACAAACCAGCGGCATGGCAGCTCGCCCATTCCTCCAGGAATCAGCTGTGACACTGATGCCGCCCACCCCTCTGGGCCTGCCCCGGGATCAGACGGGTTCCAGTGGCGCTGGTGGCAGGGAGAAGGGAGGAGAGGAACCAAGAGCAAGGAAAGATATTTTATCATGACTTCAGAAGAGATTACCCGAAAACTGCTTGCTGGTGCTGTAGCAGATGAACAAGCGATTGCACATGGAAAAGCACATGCGTTGGCGAATAGGCTACCTGATTGGTTAAGATAACATATCTGCGCACACACTCACACCTGGTCGGTGAGATTGGCCTGTTAGAGCCCCCCCACTCTGATGTCCACAGCCGTGTGGTTGAACCCGCGAGAAAATCAGGAACCCATGGCCCTCCACGCGCCACTCAAACACGGGCAGACACACACATATGCAGGCACACCCTTTCACACCCACACGGCACCTGATTGGTGAGGTTGGCTTGCAGCCTCGACCCCCCCACTCTGATGTCCACAGCCGTGTGGTTGAACCCGTGGGAGATCAGAAAGCCAGTGCCCTCCACACGCCACTCGAACACGGGCGGACACAATCGTACACCCGCACACACACAGATGCATGCATAGACGCAGGCATGCACACACCTGATTGGTCAGGTTTGCTTGTAGTCTCGACCCCCCCACTCTGATATCCACAGCCGTGTGGTTGAATCCGCGGGAGATCAGGAAGCCAGTGCCCTCCACACGCCACTCGAACACAGGTGGGGCGGAGTCTGAGGGATCGGAGGAGACGGGCTTGGGCGGGTGCATGCCCACTGTTATGCTTGGCCGCTGGGGTGGGGAGGGAAGGCAGGAGGAAGGATGGGTAGTGAAGAAAGGGAGGAGTAGTGAAGAAAGGGAGGAGTAGTGAAGAAACGAAGGAGTAGTGAAGAAAGGAAGGAGTAGTGAAGAAAGCGAGGAGTAGTGAAGAAAGGGAGGAGTAGTGAAGAAAGGGAGGAGTAGTGAAGAAAGGGAGGAGTAGTGAAGAAAGGGAGGAGTAGTGAAGAAAGGGAGGAGTAGTGAAGAAAGGGAGGAGTAGTGAAGAAAGGGAGGAGTAGTGAAGAAAGGGAGGAGTAGTGAAGAAATGGAGGAGTAGTGAAGAAAGGGAGGAGTAGTGAAGAAAGGGAGGAGTATGAGGAACTCCTGACCCTCCTCCCGGCCAGAGGCGACGGGAGCAGACGGGCTTGAGCGGGTGCATGCCCACTGTTATGCGGGGACGCTGGGGTGGGGAAGGGGTGCAAGGAGGGGGGTAAGATGACATGGGCCATGCGGAGCAAGTATGGGTGGTATGAGGGTGGGGGACGCTGTGGGTTTGGGGGGTTGAAAGAGAGGGAGTGGTAAGGGGAAATGACAGGAGGAATTTAACCAGGTTCTTAGAATAACACCATGTAGTATCAATCCACTCCCACCCACTCACCGCTATTTCCATCTTCTCAATCAGCGTCACTTCACATGCCCCCATCTCAAGTACTCCTCCTGCTGAACTTGTTCTTGCTGCTGCTTCAAACGCGGCTGCTTCAAACGCGGCTCCTTCTGTGTCATCAGCTGCATCATGCCCCACCACGTACTCAATACACCCTTCCCCAGATGCTCCTACCTCAAATGCTTCCGCCTCTAATACCCTTTCCCCACCTGTCCCCCCCCTCCGTCCCCCTTCTGACTCTCCCGTCCCCTGCTCCTGCTCCTGCTCCTGCTCCCCCCCACCCTCCTCTCTCATCGCTCTCCGCCCCTCCCCCGCCGGACAACTTTCCCGCCCTCCCTTCCCCTTGGGATGGCAGCTGAGCAGAATCGCTATAGAGCGATTTGCTATAGGCATGGAGCCGATAATTGCAGCATAGCTGCCTCCTGTAGAGGGATCCACTACACGCACGTACCAGCCCTGCACAGGGAATTTAACATGAAACAATCAAAGCAATATTCATGTTAAAGACTGGAACGGATCTGTAGTGGATAGATCGGTAGTAGAAAAATCGGTAGGATGGAAGCGGTACCATGAACAGCATACCTCGAACCAGGAGCACGGACGGCCACGTGTCTGCCAGATCGGCGAGCATCGTGCCACGTGTGGGCTGTGCGGGCTGGTGCTGACGTGGATCGGCGCGACGATGACGAGGGCGACGGCTAGCAACAGCGCGGGGTTTGACAGGATGGGCACGCGGAAAAAGGGCGCGCGGAACGAGGGCGCGCGGAAAGCAAATCGCGCCATCGACGCTTCACGCAGAGCGGTTCCGCGTGATCGTGCAAGTTATTTAAGAGGCGACGGACGGCCGGACAGGATCGCACCGGCGAGTATCGGATTTGAGGTAGCAAATCTGACGAGGTGACTTTTGAGTCGACTCAAAAGTCGGATGTAAGGTAGCAAATTTGACTGAAACTTCCAGTACGAAAGCGCTATTTGCAGAGAGAAAATGGCTCTAAAATTTACACGATTCGAGGCGACGCGCTTGGAAACCTTACACGCGCAGAAATGTGGAAAGATGGGCCGTTATGCACCGTAGTACGTGGAGAATGTACCTCGCTCTCCTTTGCAAGAAGGTGAATTATTTCCTCGCTACGTGGAAATCCCCGCCCGGGTACGAGGTGGGAGATGCCGACTGCGAATAACGTAAGTAACGACGTGGTGCCCGTGCGCATGGCGGCGAGGCGATTCGGCAGCATTGCAGCGAACAGGCAAGGGTGATGCGGGTTGAATCGTCGGCATGTCAGGTTGAATCGCGTTCGTTTTTAGCTCGAATCGAAACCGCACTAAATCGTTCTGGACTCATTAAAATACGCTGGAAATCTCTAAGCATCTCACCTCACCGCCCGTCGAACTCAAAAAGGGAATAACCAATCGGAGAGATGTTGGATACGTTTTAGAAAATACGTTGCTAATAGTTTCATTTCAAACAACTCCGAGCCTGATTGTACAGTAGCGGAATCAGGACTTCTCCTACCGGGTACGTTAACTTGGTGGAGGACAGTGCAGCACGTGGTCCCCAAGGTCGCGACCCTTGTTCAACGTCATTGCGCCACGTCATACCACCAGGACTTCAGACAATTTCTATGTTCACAAATTTCACATTTCCCAGTACATTCATTCTAAGATTCCCCCCTTCAGACAATTTCTATGTTCACTCATAGCCTTTTTTGTTGGCACCGCTATAATTAGCCAAGAGGGCTTTGACCGCTTAGGCAACAGGTGGTCAGGAGGGTTAGTCGAACCGCGATCATAGTTAGGCCTTCGCAACGAGACTGACGCACATCGCAGTCGCTATGGAATCGTCGCTCCTCCTCCCCCGTCCATCGCGTCCGTTCACTCCCTCCCATCCAACGGTCAGAACTGCATCCCGGCTTGTGTCGCGGCCGGCGTCGTCAGTCTCCCCGTCCTCACTTCCCGCTGCGCCATTCCCGCGGAGTTCCGCCAGTGCGCGCACATGTATCTGCGCGGCGGTAACGCAATCAGGGAGAATGCCGCCGCGAGAACCGGCAGATTCAGCGCGCACCGGGGGGAGCGGGGGGCGCGGAAGCGTAGCAGCGGCGTCGCTGAAGCGCCCGCCAGTGGGGCTGGGCGCGGAAGGCGCGCTGGCGGAAGAGTTAGCGGCGGAAGCGGTGGAAGACCTGCTGGGGGAAGGGGAGTCGGAAGGGGAAGAGGGAGCTCGCGCGGCAGTTGCTGACGTGGCAGGATCTGAATCCGACGTGGACCGACCCGTGGTGGAAACGCGGTGTGTGAGGGAGGAACGGGCTGAATGAGGGACGAGAAAGCAAGTGGGGTAGTGAGGGAGTGAAGGAGTGAGTGATTGAGTGCGGATTCGGTGCCGGCAGCGACCACTGGCGGCACACCCTGCGAGCACTGGGAGCTCTGATCTGATGAGCGCCCCATCTTCCCCCCTTCCTTCCCTCAGCATCTGGCTGTGGCGAGGCCACTCCATCCGCTACCAGAAATGCGGTTCCCAGGGCCCTCCACTCCTCCTCCTTTCCCCATTTCCTCCGCTTTCTACCCCCTCTTCCCCCCTTCCCTCCCCCAGCACCTGGTTGTGGCGAGGCCACTCCATCCGCTACCAGCAGTCAGGCTACCGGGGCCAACCTTTGAGTCAGCTCACAAGTAGGCTCACAGGGCCCTCCACTCCTCCTCCTCCTTTCCCCATTTCCCCCGCTCCCTCCCCCATCTTCCCCGCTTTCCCTCCCCCAGCATGTGGTTGTGGCGCGGCTACCAGCAATCCGGCTCCCAGGGCCGACTTTTGAGTCGGCACAAAAGTAGGCTCACAGGGCCCTCCTATCCACCCTACGCTCCTCTTCCCTCCCCAGTCTATCCCCCTCCCTTCCCCCAGCTCCTGGCTGTGGCGCAGCCACTCGATAAGGTACCAGCAATCCGGTTCCCAGGGCCCGCCCGTCGTCATACCTACCCCTTCTTCCTCTTCCCTCTCCATTCTGCCCTCCTCCCCTCCCCCAGCACATGGCTGTGGCGCGGCCATTCAATAAGGTACCAGCAATGCGGCGCCCAGGGCCCGCCCATCCTCCTCATCCACGGATTCGGCGCGAGCAGCGACCACTGGCGGCACAACCTTAAAGCCCTGGGAGCGTCGGGGCACCGCGTGTTTGCGATTGATTTGCTGGGGTATGGGTACTCCGATTAACCCACCCTCTCCTCCTTGCCTCCCCTCCTTGCATCCCTTCCCCTCCCTTCCCCTCCTCCTGTTCCTGTCCTCCCTCCCCGCAGCACCTGGCTGTGGCGCGGCCACACAATAAGGTACCAAACCTCGGGCTCCCAAGGCCCGCCTGTCCTTCTCATCCATGGCTTTGGCGCCAGCAGCGACCACTGGCGGCACACGCTTAAAGCCCTGGGAGCATCGGGGCACCGCGTGTTTGCGATTGATCTGCTGGGGTATGGGTACTCGGATAAACCCACTCCCAGCTACCGGATCAAGAAGGAGAAGCAGCCGGAGCAGAAGGAGCAGGGGGGGGGTGCTGGTGCTGCTGCTGCTGCTGCTGGTGGTGGGAGTGGTGGCGAATCAGAGTACACGTTTGAGAATTGGGGGCAGCAGGCCGTTGACTTCATTGACCAGGTGGTGGGCGAGGAGGCTTTCATTGTGACCAACTCTGTTGGAGGTATGTTGACTCGATTGACCAAGTCACATCTGTTGACTTCTTTGACCAGGTGGTGGGCGAGGAGGCTTTCATTGTGACCAACTCGGTGGGAGGTGAGTGAGCGAGTTAGTGGGTAGGTGAGTTGACTGTACTGACCATGTCACTCTGGACCAGGTGGTGGGCGAGGAGGCGTTTATTGTCACCAACTCCGTGGGAGGTGAGTGAGGGAGCTGGAGTAGTGGCACTGCAAGCAGCAGCCACGCTCCCCGCAAAGACTCACTCTTGCAGCAGCAGCCCTTTTCTCGCTTTGTTGCGTCGATTGCCCCTCGGTGTACCCTCACTCGTCCCCGTTCCCCCCAAATCCCATACCCAGGAGTGGTGGCACTGCAAGCAGCAGCCACCCGTCCCTCTAAAGCCCTCGGTCTCAACATCGCCTTCCAAAACCTCATTGATTTCCTCTCTCACTTCCTCTCTCCCCCTCCCTTCCCATCCCCAGGAGTGGTGGGACTGCAAGCAGCAGCCACCCATCCTTCTAAGATCCTCGGTCTCCTCCTCCTAAACATCTCCCTCCGAAACCTCCACATTCGAAAACAGCCCTTGCTCGCGCGCCCCTTCGTCGCCCTCCTCCAATCCACCCTCCGATCCACCTCCCTCGGAGAGCAATTCTTCGCCTCGGTCGCCACGCCTCGCGCCGTGCGTAACGTGTTACGCCAGTGTTACGGCGACCCGGCTACAGTAACGGACGAGCTCGTAGATTTGATTCTCAAGCCCGGGTTGCAGCCAGGGGCGGTGGATGTGTTTCTGGATTTTATCTGCTACTCGGGCGGCCCGCTGCCGGAAGATCTGCTGCCTAAAGTGCAGGTGGGCTTGGGGGGAATGGGGGGAATGGAAGGGGGGGAAACGTAAGAGGTTCGCTTGGCAGGTGTGTGAGGCGAGCATGGGTTGCAGCCAGGGGCGGTGGATGTGTTTCTGGATTTTATCTGCTACTCGGGCGGCCCGCTGCCGGAAGATTTGCTACCCAAAGTGCAGGTGGGTGTGGGAGGATTGGGAGGGGGTTGTGTCATCCTTGAGAAAAAGTGCTGATCCATGTGTTAGTCTAATCTATCTGCCATTTAAGCCGCAATTGCTCTGCCCATTTTCCCCCCACCCCCTCCTCGTTCCTGCTGCTTCTCCCCTCCCCTCTCCCTCCCTGTGCTGTTTGGGTGGGGCCAGGTAGACCCTTGGGAGCCAGTGGAGCAAGGCATGCAGCTTTGAAGGCTGCACACACTTTCGAGCATCTCACATCACAACATTCTAACCCCTCATTCCTTCCCTCCTCCTCTCCCGGTCTCTATTCCCTTATCCTCCCTTCCCGCACCCCCTCCAGTGCCCTGTGCTGTTCGGCTGGGGCCAGGCAGACCCCTGGGAGCCAGTGGAGCAAGGCGGGCAGCTTCAGAGGCTGCACACCCTCTCTCACACATCTCACAATGCCCCAACCCCTCGTTCCTTCTCCCCCTCTCCGGTGTCCCCCCCATTATCCAGTGCCCTGTGCTGTTTGGGTGGGGCCAGGCAGACCCCTGGGAGCCAGTGGAGCAGGGCAGGACACTCAAGGACTTCCCCTGTGTGGTCGGTTTTGAGGAGTTTCCAGGGGTGGGCCACTGCCCTCAGGACGAAGCTCCCCACATAGTCAACCCCCTTATAGAGAAATTCGTTTCCCAGTACAGCAAAGTAGCTAAATGATTGTTCGTATCTATCCCAAGGGTCAGGCAGACCCCCAGGAGCCAGTGGAGCAAGGCAGGCTACTCAACTCAAGAACTTCCACTGTGTGGTGGGCTTTGAGGAGTTCCCAGGGGTGTGCCATTACCCTCAGGATGAAGCTTCTCGCATTCTGAACCCCCTTATGAGGCGGTTCGTTTTCCAGCTTAGTAAAGTAGCTAGGTAAAAGCAAAGGTACTCGGGTGCTTGTACATTCTTTCAACCAGTCAATTTGAAAAGCTTTACCATGTGCTTGCTGTGCAATTACAAGACAGAGCGCAAAGCTATGGATCTATAAGCTTGTCTGGTGTTACATTTCCATCCACAGTTCACACAAAACATTTACAAAGCAATCAATTGACTAACCTAGCACAGCTTAGCCTCAATGACTAAACTCCAATCAACAGGAATATCAGCGTAGGCTGAAATGAATGAGCTGCGCAGGAGGTGTGTCCGCCTGGTCTTTAGTGACTCCCAATGTAGAAATCACCAAGTGCACTTATGAAAACGCAGCGGTCCGAGCCCCAGTCCACGTGGAGAGATCAGGTGGTGCTAGCATGCGGGCCTAGGGATTAGCTGGGTTGGAAAGCCGCGGAAAAACTGCCCGCGAATCGCTCCCTCGGGGTACATGTCAGTAGCGATTGTCGCATAGTATTTGCCTGGATTCCGCTCAATCATTTTCACCATCTTGTAAACGGACATGCCTGTACCGGGGACCATGACATGCACCGCGCGCTTGAACACGCGTTTCAACTCCAACTGATCCTCGTTTCGTTGCGTCCACGTTCCTTCGATGTTCCACACCACGTCACCGTTCGCGCCACGTCTCCCGAGGTTAATGGATTGGTTGAGAGGCGGCATTGGGAGGGAGAGCTCGTGCGTGTTGTAACTGATGTGAACGTCAATCCCGCCTTGAAACCTGCGGAACGCCGCGAACAAAAACCATTTGAAAGACGGGATTAACGGGGAGTGGGGACGCAGAATTCCAAGGGTAGGAGAGTGGAACGGGGGAAAGTAACAGATGGGGAGTCAACAGTGGGGGAGCAAGGAGGAGAGATTGATGTATGTGTAAATGCCGTTCTTACTTGTAGACATAAATGTTTAGATCGCCATGGCCGCCGAGATCCCCGCCAAGCGAGGAACTGCCCTTTGAGTTAATTAAAAAAATCACTATCTTATAATGAGATTATAGATGCCTTCTTACTTGTACACGTAGATGTTTAGATCGCCATGACCGCCGAGATCCCCGCCGAGCGACGAGCTCATAACGTCGTTGTCCTTCAGGTCTACCCGTAAGCTGCCTGCGTGTGACAATAGCGAAGAGTGGCAACAGACAAGTGCGACACGATCAGACTCAAGGGTGGTGCGAACGAAAGAATGAAGGCGGAACGGAGAATGCGCGGGACGGAATGCGGAAGGGGATGAGCAGAATGCAGATATGCCAAAACGCGGAACCGGAAAAGTCACGTGGCAGGTCTTTCGCGCGCTAATAATGTACGAACTTGACGAAGAGCAGAAGGAATAGCAGAGGAGAGGTCGTGCATAACGGAAAAGAACCAAAAGCATGGGGAGACGACCAAAAGTTAAATTTGTTTACTGATATGCACGAGGGAAGAATGGGCCGCACATACATCTTAGAATCCCAGGCGGCGGGGCGACTCGTTCGACGGGTCCGACTCCGTTAAAGGCGGAGGCTATCGCGACGAAGAGAGATAGTAGAAGCAGCAAGCCTGCAGATCGGAGAACAGTAGCGAGGAAAGGTGTGGAACGACTACTTGAAGGAAGACAGTAACGAGCAGGGGATGCAAGGTCTCGAACGGTCTAAGTGGTTGCAATGGCGTCTCAGAGGGCAGTATAAGAACACGTCCCTCTGTCTTGTACTACAAGCTCGTACAAGAGCGCAAAAAAACGGAGCAGTATATACTATAGTAGTGAGTTAGAGCGTTGCACAAGAGCGCGCTGCCTTCGGCCTCTCTGCCGTACCTGGAAGGTCGCGCCTGAGGTGGAACGCCATTATCTGCGAGGCAGCGACGGATTTTTTGTATGGTCGAAACAGGAACAGGACGCGTAATGGAGGTTATGGCAGCCTGGGGTAAAGTTGTGAGCCTAGTAACTCAAGAATCAGATTTCTGGAAGTTGGTTCATTTTTGGCTTATTGATTGTTGAGAGAGCGTGAGAGCGATTTTGACGCATTTAACCAGAAGGTCCATGCCTTTATGGACACATTTACGATTCGTAAGTGCTTGGGTTTGTGGAAGGTCGTCTAATGCACCAAGGATGATTGCTGATGGATGTCGGATTTCTGGAGAAAGGTAAGTGGAAAGAGGAAGGCGCAATTTGGCAAATCCGACTGCCGCCGTACCTTCCCCATTCTTCACCCAAGTACATCGAAGTAAATTCGCGCCTCTTCATTCCGTCGCGACGCGACACGATTATTCCACCCCAATGCGCGATGCTCCCAGCTCAGCAATAAAGTCACGCACGTCGCAGTATCCTGCGATCGCCGGGGTTTGCTGTGGGCAGTGTTTGTCGGCACGCATGACGAAACCCGCTAGCGAAAGTCAGTCGACAGTTATGCACGTATTGCGCTACGAACTCTGTTGGCGGTGGCGATCGAAGCCGTACACGAACTACAGTAACAGCATATCTTCAGTAATCACGAATTCGCTGCGATGCAATCACACCTGTTGACGCCGAAAATTTGTCCCACGCAACAGCATCGGGTGACGTGTGCCTCCACCGACAATGTTTCATTCGCTCTAGCGCATATGGTCAGTTTGTTCAAAATTCAATACATATTCAGCTAATCTTCTATTAGCGTATTCAACGGATCAGCGCCTACATTGTTTATCTCGTTAAAAACAGTTATAGTCAGAATTAGTTATACGCAAAAATAAACATTACGCAGGTGGGAGAAATCAAACTCCGCACTTATTCTGTGCAAAGCACATCCGCACATCCTAGCAAACTCGGCGGTGAACCAGCAGCTTCGGAAAATGATGTGAAAACTGTCCTCGAATAGCTCCCTCAGGAAAGGCGTCAGTGGTCACAGTTGCATAGTACAGTTTGGGACTTCGGTCTATCATCCTCACCATCCTATATACGCTCTTGTACGCGCCAAGAGGTCGCATTCCTTTCGCTTGCATGAACCATGAGTCGAGTTGCATCTGGTTGTCGCTCTGTGGCACCCACGTTCCAGTCACATTCCACAGCCATCCGCCATTCATTCCCTTGGGCCCGAAATTGATTGTTTGGTTTAGAGGCTTCGAGCTAGTGTCAAGGCCGTAAGAGAAAAGAATCACTCGCACGTTGATATGGTTCCTGAAGCTGCATGGTGGGAGAGGGCAAAAGCAAAACCAGGGCAAACCACGGTGGCATTAGAGCGGCCGAAGACCTCAACTTGCTGGTGACCGTTTTTTTACGCGTGGTGGAAAGTTGGTTCCACGTACTGGAAAGAAACGCTACATTCTAGTACACAATAGTGTTTGGGATCCGTAGCTGTACCCGCGTAGGTGAGTAACAACTCGCCTTCAAATGTCGATCACGCCGCGAGTTGGGATCCGTACCTGTATACGTAGATGTCGAGCGTGCCTTGCGAGTTGGCCGCTCCCTTAGTTCCAACGACGCCGTTAGCCGCCAAATTCGCACGCAATATACCTGGATGTATGATAATATAAAAAGCGGGGCAAGTAGAGAAGTCGTTTCCTATCATAAGGAGTTTCGAATCTGCCTAGCGCTGCAATAGAACATACCTATACCACATGACTGCAGAGAAACTAATTACAGGAGTCGCTCCCCGCCGGAACGGATGTTGATGGTGCTTTTCTAAGCGATGTATGTGCTGCTGCAAAGGGTGCGTGCGTGTCATGATAAGGCCTTGCCTCAAAGGACAATAATGATGAAGGAAGACTCACATCTCAATGTTCCAGGGAACGTGTTGCCTCTTGCGAAAGGGCCCATCGCGCGAGCCGTGCTGGCGACGCCCATCGCCAACAGGCAAACAAGCACAATCTCTGCAAAGAAACGCAGGGGAGCAGGAGGGACAAGAAACGTGCTGCTGGGAAACTGGAAAATGTACAAATACGAGGAGGTTCATCTGTTGTGAAACTACCGCTTACCCAAGCTTGACAGACCATTCTGGGCCATTGGCTTCATCCGAGGGTTTTGTATAGCGTCGACCCAACCCCAGCTATTACCGATATCTAGCTGTAATATTTGACAGCTATTGGGGTTAGAAGATATATCAACCACTACGCTTGCAATACTCTATTCGTGTGCAATGGACACGCGATAAATCGCGCCTGCTATGCCTTTCAAAAGACACTTCCAACCTACTGCTTGGGGAATTGGAGAATTCTTGAACTGGATTCCTTTCGGGAACTTGATAATCGAGCCGCGTGGTGGCCGTGGTTGTGATAATTCCCCGTAGGCGGGAAGCGAAGCCCTCTTGAATTCGCGATGATGCTCACTTTTCGCACTTGTCGCACGAATGTGTGTAGTGCTGAAAGCACAGCAACAAAAGCTGACGGCTGTCAGCTCTCATACTCGTTATGAAAAAGCTCTCTACGCTGTAAGTCTCGATATTGCAAATGTAGGAATTACCGTACATTTCTTGACGAAAACCGTTGCACAGTGTTTGCCGACGGAACCGGAGGCGAATCATCACCGCCAATCTGGGCGGTGCGCTGAAAAACCAAGACCCAGTCTCGAGCCGCAAATGTCTAGTTCGTGCACAAAATTACCAAATCGCGATGTCACCCTCAGCTCCGCACATTGGAAAATTTCCCATCCTCCCTTCCCCCTCACCACCACACCTCTCATTTCCAATGCCTACCCGTGCCCTCCTTCCACTAGGAAGATGTGACTCCCAGCTATCGCCTAACGCGCTTCCGCGTGAGGGTGGGGACTGAGGAGAGGAGAAACCAGTGGAGCGCCGAGAACATCTGTTGGCATGTCTCTGCCTCCTCGTGCGTGCTGCTCATAAATATATCCAGCGTCAGCTTCCTATATTTCAGCAGCACATTTTGTAACTCGCTAAAAAAGCTATCGACCCCAGAGGCGCTTTTGCCCCCATCATCCTTGCCGTCGGAACCCCAATAACAGCTGCTCCCGAACCACTACTACGTGCAACTATTGTCCACCATGGCGTGGGCAAGACACGCGGCGTCCAGAAACTTCCTCCTGTTTTTCCTCGTCGTCGCCCTCGCAACCAGCGCCAACGCGAGAATTTTCAGGCAGCCCGTTTTCGGCCGCCTGCTTCCGTTCCCGGGAAGACTACGATGTGAGTCCGCATTTCGCGCTCACTAGCTCATTAACGCTCGCGTATATTATATCACTTCCGGGACGACTCAGCGCCCCAGTCATCGTTGCGTAAGACTTTGACTAAAAGCCCCCTCCATCAGCAGAAAGCGTTTGAACCACAGCCTTATGCATGCTTCTGTGCTCATAAATCACTCGAACGTGCGGGTCGCATCCAAAGACGAAGGGCCAAAAACAAATTCGTCGTATAAACGCGAAAATGCATTGGAGGCCGTTTACAAACATCGTCACTGCTGCTGTCTGTCGTTAGTCAACCCGGATAAAAAAAACGGGGGAAACTTTCTCTTACGCCTCCTCTCGTTTCTCCGCCTCTTCCTTCGGCGTCCCTTTCAGGCGTGCTGTGCGCCGGTATGAGCGCCAACGAGGTGCTCAGCTCGTCACTGGGAGGCGATGCGGGTGCCAATGCCGAGCTTTAACGCCTCCACACATTCTCCCTACCGTTTGCCCTTCGCGTGTCTTTCAGGCGTGCTGCGCGCCGATTTGAGCGCCAGCGAGGTGCTCAGCTCGTCACTGGGAGGCGACGCTGCTGCCCATGCTGATCTGTGGATTCGTCTGTACTGGTAAGCTGTACTGCCCTTATCTAGTGAGTTTATCTAGTGCTTCACTTATCTAGCTCGGGGTCCTCACGTACTGGTGAGTATGACTGATCTCATTTAATTTTGGGGTGCAAGTCGACAAATAAGCCGCCATAATCACCTTCGACAATAGCAGCATGCGCTCCCGCACTCCATCGCCCTCGTTTTCCGCTCGTCTACCGTCCATTCTTTACCTCCTGCTCTGCATTACCCTTTTCGCCAGTGTCACGCTCGTATATATTTCTCCCTCTTATTCCCTCACCACGGCCTTTCCCTTCTCTCCCTCAACAAACCTGCAGGTATCAGGAGCAGCTTAACGCACACGTGCACTTCAACGGTCACGATCTCACTGGCAACCTTCCCCCCCTCAACCAGTCGATCAACCTCGGCTTCAGAGGCCAGAACGGCCCCGTCGTGTGGAACATCGAGGGCACGTGGACCGTTAAAAACCCGCAGCAGGTTGAGCTGGACCGTTGGATCATGGGCACGCGGAGAACGATGGTTCCTGGAACGTCGATGACGTTCCAAGAACTAATCCATAAAATCGACAAGAATCCCACCAAGTTTTACGGCACCATCAGCACGGACAGCTACCCGGACGGCGCCGTTCGCGGGCAGTTCATTCGAGGCTTTCCCAACATGCTCTTGCCCGTCCCGCGGTGTAATTAGCACTCTGCAGAGGCCGCGCAAAGCACCAGGAATTCATACAGCTGCAGCTGACACTGCGAAATGACATCCCTTTTTGTCCAAGAGAAGCGTCTGCACAAGGTTGGCGTTCCAAAATCAGTGTTCCAGCTAAGGGCCAGTGTACACGGAATATGGGTTGTGATGAGCTGGTTCAAAATCAGCGTCCCAGCTAATGGTAGTACTTAGGTCTGGTGTAGGCTAGCTTGACTGTGGCCGTTGCTTTCCCCCGCAAGGCCAAACCTAGCAGCTCGGTTTCTCAGCTTTGATATGGAGGCAGTAGAAGCACTATTTCGTAAGCTGGATGTATTATCTCTGATTGCATTGTATTATTCGATGTGCTTCGCACATGGCGCAAGTAATTATGAAACAGGCTAGAAACCAGCAATGTGGACAGAATCTGCAGAGGATCTGGCTGGCATATTTACACCACTACATGATAGTGTTGACAAATAAGCCTCATGCTAATTTCAATCATGAAAAGGTCAGATCAGAGCAATCGGTCATCCCTGCTTGACACATGATTTTTGTTGCACGTTATTGCTGCAATCTGACATCACTCCTCGCAAGGGCTACAATGCATGCAGGAATTAATGGGCCTCATCATCATGCCACACAAAAGCACCTACTTTACAAAACGATTCTACCCCACTTCAATTTTGACTGGATAATGGAGGTAGCTACGGTACTAGTATTGACTTTGTTTCAACCATATTCTTACTTCAAAACAGAGCCATATTAGATGTTCCAAACTGAAGGCAATGGGAATGCTGTTTGTTACAAATTCCCAAATGAATAATTATAAACTTCTAATCCCTTGAACAGTTGAGTTGTTATCAAGTTTATTGATGCTCGCGCCAACGAACATTCAACCCCCAACCAAATCCACCGTGTAAAGCTGTTCCTGCTGTACTTTTGCGAAGGGTAACGCTTCGTTACTGGATCTTCGCGTGACAGCCAACGGTCTGGTTATCGGTAGGCATGTCCACATTCGTCCTTTTCGCATCCAATACTATTCGAAAGTGAGGCATCATTCTCCCAACCGACAAGGCGAGCGAAACGAAACAAGAGGTTCGCGCGCCTCCCCTCCCTAACTTTTCGCCACGTCCGACGCAAGCTGTCGCGTGTGATAGCCCCGCCCCAATGTGCCTCGCCGTACCCACGCGATATTTTTGATTTGTCCGCAAAGTGCGATTCGGTCGGGGACATCAATGTTTCCCCCCAAATCTCCATCGCGAAATTTGCGACCGTTTTGGGGCTTGAAAGCCTACACGGCTGGCGGCGCAAAGGAACACCTTCCCTCACCCGACATAGCTTTTACATCACCACACGAGATCAATTTTCATTTACTCTCCAACTTAGTGCCTAAGCGGCTTGTCCAGTGCAACGTACCTTTGTTAGATTCCCAGCACACACTTTTAAACGAAAGCCGCTCGAGTGATCCGCCTCAAACCCGACACAATAAGTGGTCTCTTCTAACGATGGCTCGCCTACAAGATCTGTGCCTCCCTGGTATGGCTCTTCGACCAAGTCAAGCCTAAGCCTGCTTTATCATCCCCGTAACGCGTTTCCCAGATTAATTTCAGTGTGCTCGGGGCCTCCTTCTGCATGCACTTCTTGATGTCAAGCTAGTGTTCACAACTCCCCTTTCGTTTGTCTTTCCCTGCCAATTCGACTTCGTTGGCCTTCTCCACCAGGCTTTCTCCTTCTCCTCTCGTTCGTCGTCGCATCACAAGCGCAAGGCTTCGGCGGAAGTGGAATCTCGGCGTTTGTCCCCTTCCCAGGAGTCCAAAAATGTAGGTCGCCCACGAATCACACAGCGCGCCTATAGCGAGTAATCACCAGAGTACAAGCTTGCAAATTCAAACGCATTGTCGACGAAGCCTTGCTTCTGCCCGTGCAGTTAAACACCTTGCGGCTTTCGTATCCCGCCCGCTCGATTCATGCTGCAGGTGTCCTTGTAGCTGACATGAAACCGAACAAGATTCTGCAGTACCATCCGCTCGGTGATATCAGAGCGAACGGCAATCTCCGCATCACCGTGTACCAGTGAGTTTTCGGCAATCTCCGTGTCCGCGCGGTTCATGTATAATGCCTCTAGAATACACCGCATTTGCCACAGCTTATCCCGGCGCGCTCATTATAAACTGGACAAGAACCCTGATTCAAGATCAAGCTCGTACCCCTCCCCACCCCTCCTTCTCTGATGGGTCTCCCGGCGCGCTCATTTTTACACCGCAGGAACCAAGACCGAATCAGTCTGACTCACACTCGACGCTGACTATCTCACCGGCGCACTTCCCCGTTTCTCAATATTCGGGAGCGTCTCTCTGATTCCGGCTCAATCTCGTATCTCCTTCCCCACTTGGCCGCTCGTGCGTATCGCTCCACCGCCCATTTTCGTCTCGCAGGATGCAAGGCCGAATCAATCTGAGGCTCAAGCTCGACGCCGACTATCTTACCGGCGCACTGCCGCCCAACAACATCACCGTCTACGACTCGCGCTCCGGCGGTGCGCTGGGTCTCCCCGTGTTCGGCGTGACGGGGAGATGGCAGGCGAATCCGGCTCACGGCGAAGTTCTTCTGCGCACGTGGGTTCTGGACGCCGCCAACAAATATCCTCCGGGTTCCACGCTGTCGTACTACGACCTGATTCGCCAGATTGACTTGAGCCCGCGAAGCTTCTTTGCGTCGCTTACAACGGAGAGGTACAAGTGGGGCGCGCTGAGGGGAAGGTTCATCCGTGGCGCTGTCAACATGATGATCCCAGTGCCTGTGTGCTAAGCTGCTTGCGAATACTTGGTCAGCTGAGACAGCAGGGGTGTCTGATAAATACACGCTGGGAAACCCATGAGCTACTGCAAGTATGGGATTCCATTTATTCTGGGTTATGATGGCTGGCCCAGCAATAAGTCAAATCTGATTAGGTCCGGTGTAGCACCAGCGGTGGTGCTTATGCCTTATAATATCCCAATACTTAGAACTACAGATGTACTTAGAATGCTAATTCTTATAGCGCGACATTTAATATCTCAACGCCATCTATTCTTACGCGGATATTAATGTGCGTGTTATGAGTTGTACGAATGAAGAGTGCGCAGAATGCAATATCGCGGAAGTGATTACAACAACTGCTCAAACAACGAGGCCTAGGCACAATATAGCAAAGCTAGCTAGGCCGAGGTCGCGGAGTCGCGCGAAGGTTGGGTGCAGGTTTGGGGTTGGAAACCCCGAAGGCGACGCGGTAGACGTTCGGAAGGCGAGGTCTACGGACCGAGCCTGAATTCCGAAAGTTGGAATTGTACGCGTAAGGGCTGCCTCAGTAAGGAATTAGCAAAATTCCTTACACTACCCCCCCCCTTAAGAAAGGTGGTCAATATCAGGCACGCGTCGGCGGGAAAGATACTCCCGAAGGACCGAGTGCCCTTGGAGTGAGTCAGCAGGGACCCACGTGTCATCTTCGCTTGTGCGATCCACCCAGCGGAGTAGGAAGTCGACGTGGCGTCCAGCGGGGGTCGCACGAATGCGATGATTCAAAATCTTCCAAGGTTGAAGTGTCGGATCTGCCACAGGTCGGACACTTGGCGCCAGGTTGGACCGAGCGACGTCGGACGGCTGCGGAGCAACGTAGTGGCGAAGGAGACTGGCGTGGAAAGCGTCGTGGATCTTCCAGTCGTCCGGTAGGAGAAGTTTCGCCGTGACCGGTGTCAGCATCCGAATGATGCGGAAAGGTCCCACGTAGCGGGGACGCAATTTTGCGGGCTGGGGCAGTTTGAGGTTCTTCGTGTCCAGAAGGACCATCTGCCCGTCACGGAAGGGTAAATTCCGTCGATGTAGGTCAGCGTAGCGGCTGGCGGCCGTATTAGCCTTCCGGATAAATTCCGCTGCTTTGTTGCGTGCCGCCTGAAGTTCCGAAACGAACTGCTGCGACCTTGGTACCGGATTTTCAGGAGTCGTTGACGAGGGTACCACCGGGTCTATCCCGTAATTGAGGTAGAACGGTGACTGATTGGTCGTCGCAGATGGGGCATTGTTGTACGCGAACTCGAGCATGGGAAGCGAATCTTCCCACTTGGTGATGTCGGGGCAGTTTGTACGGATCAACTGCTCCATCGTCTGGTTTGTCCTTTCTGTCTGTCCGTCGGTTTGCGGGTGGTATGACGACGAAAACTGCAGGCGGGTGCCGTACTGTGCCCACGTCTCCTGCCAGAACTTCGACGTGAATTTCGGGTCGCGGTCGCTGATGATCGCCGACGGTAACCCGTGCAGTCGCACGACGGTCGAGATGAAGAGCTTCGCTGTTTCTTCGGCTGTGATCGTCGTGCGGCATGGTGCGAAATGCGCCATTTTCGTTAAGCGATCGACGACCACGAGCACGGAATCGTTGCCACTTGCGCCAGCTGGCAGTCCTGTGACGAAGTCCATCGTCACTTGTTGCCACGGTCGTTCGGGTGGCTCGAGGGGCTGCAGCAATCCGGCTGGGCGTTGGCGTGATGATTTCATTGCTTGGCAGGTCGGGCAGGCGGACACGTAGCGCTGCACGTCTGACGCCATGTCGGGCCAGAAATAATTCCGCTGCAGCAGCTTCAACATTTTGTCAATGCCGAAACGGCCGGAGAGGTTGGAGTCGTGGACCTCCTGCGTCAGCAATACTCTGAGGGGTCGGTCGGAAGGTACCCAAACGCGGTTGGTACCGGCTTTTAGGTAATAGCTCCCATGCGCCGTAGTGACCCGTTGGTGTAGATTGGTCCTGAAGAACCTGTCAGTTCTGTAGCCGTGTTTAAACAATCCTGCCAATAAAGGGTTAGAATGGGCGATTAGTACTGCTGCTGTTTGCATTGATGGGCGGGTCAGGGCGTCGGCGATGTTGTTGGCGCCCTTCTTGTAGGTAATGGTGTAGCTGAAGTTGGACTCGAGGTAATCGAGCCACCGAATTTGTCGCGGGTTGAGCTGTGGTTGGCTGCGCATGTACTGTAATAACTTGTGGTCGGTTCGGACGGTGACGTCAGCCCCCGTGAGATAACAGCGCCAGGTACGAAACGCATGCACGATGGCGAGCATTTCTTTGTCGTGCACGGGGTAGTTGCGCTCGGGCGGCTGCATTTTCCTTGACTCGTACGCGATGGGTTGCAGTCCGTTGCCGAAATCCTGTAGTAGCACAGCGCCGACGGCGAAATCGCTGGCGTCCGTCACAACCGGCTTCGAACGGTCGAGATGGATCTGCCAGGCGAAGTACCGGGGGTGAACTCAAAATTTTCTTCAGCTCGTCGAAGGCCAGCTGCTCTCTCTCCCCCCACAAAAACTGCACGCCCTTATGCAGAAGATCGGTTAATGGTCTAGTCACCCCCGCCATGTTGGTTGGTGTAGTTGACGAAACCGAGGAAGCTCTGCAGCTCCGTGATGTTCGTGGGCGGCTTCCACTCCGAAATCGCTTTTATTTTACGAGGGTCAATTTTAATACCCTCCCCTGAAACTACGTGCCCCAGGAACTCCAGCTCCGGCTGTAAGAACTCACACTTAGAGCCCTTAGTGATCAGTCGGTTCTGCTGCAAGCGCCGGTACACCTCTTCTAAATCCCGTAAATGCTGCTCCCGAGTCTTGCTGTACACCAGGATGTCGTCCAGGTAAACTATCACCTTCTTGTCCAACATGTCCCGAAACACCCCATTCATGGTGAGCTGGAAAGTCGAGGGTGCGTTCGTTAGGCCGAACGGCATCACTGTATATTCGTAACTGCCGTAGCGGGTGCGAAAAGCGGTCTTCGGGCAGTCGTCGGCGAACACGCGAATCTGATGGTAGCCACCTCGCAAATCGATTTTCGAGAAGAAGCGAGCCCCGCGAAGCTGATCCAGCAGGTCGTCCGCTCGCGGAATCGGGTAACGCGACTTGATGGTGATCCGATTCAGCGCTCGATAGTCGATGCACATGCGCAGGCCTCCGTCTTTCTTCGGCGTGAACAGTATCGGGGCGGCGTAAGGTGACGTGCTCGGCCGGATAAAACCTTTCGACAGCAGATAATCCAGCTGTTTCCGCAACTCGTCGAGCTCCGGTTGGCTGAGCCGCCACTGTGACCGAACAGTTGGTTTTGCGCCTGGCTCCAGCTCGATCCTGTGGTCCTCCGGACGCTGAGGTGGCAGCCCGTCAGGCAGGTCATCCGCGAAAATTTCGGGATACCTCCGAATTATGCTCGCCACGTCGTCGGGTACAGCAGCGCAGAGCGTGTCAATGTCGGCGATTTTCTCGGACGCCACCACCTCGTACAGCTGTACGGCGTAGCCTTGCGCTCCCCGTTTGATCGCCCGCTTCAGCGTGATTGCGTTGACACGTGTTGTCATCGGCTCCGGCTCCGCCCATTTCGGAAGTGTCACGCGCCCCTTGTTGCTCAGCACCGTGATCGCCCCCGTCGTCCAGTCGATCGTCGGATTGAATCGCTGTAGCCAATCTCGTCCCAGCGGCACATCGCAACCGTCCAGTGTTGTCGCCAGCATCCGCGTCGAAAACCCGAAATCGTCGCCACACTTCATCCGAATTTGTCGGACCTCGTCCTTGATCGCCAGCGGTGTCCCGTCCACCAGTCGCGCGTCAATCTCGGGCAGACACCTGTCCAGCTTGACTCCAATTTTTTTGGCCGTTGCCAGGTTGACGAGACTGTGGCTCGCCCCACCGTCAACGAATAATTTTATTTTATGTCCATTAACCCTCCCCACTACTAGCACAGGGTGATCCACGTGTTCATCCACCTTATTCGTCCGGTTGCGGTCGATAGCCCGTATCGGTACCACTACTCGGTGTGGATGTTGATTGCCGGGCGACGGGGTCTCGTCAGTAGGTGGCCCGACTGCTACTGACTCGTCTCTTTTCCCGACCCCTCTCCGTCGTTCCTGTTTCCCTGTTTCAGCTGCGGGCAGTCCTTCCTCCAGTGGCCCGGTTGGTGGCAGTTGAAGCACGTGTTAGGTCCACGTCTAGGCGCCTCCACACCGTTGATTGTGGGCTGGCGCGGCGGTCCACGAAATTGAGTGCCCTCCCGGGAACTCATTCTCGCCCATTGCATCAGCGCATCCGTAGATTCGGCCACCTGGACGGCATCGAGGAAATCGCGTGGCCTCGCCCGTCGCACCTCGTACTGTACTTCGTACTTGAGGCCTGCGACGTAACGGTCGAGTCGCTCCGCATCGCTCATGTCGTCCACCTGGTCAGCCAAATTGCAGAATGTTGCCGTGTAATCTTGGACCGACGCCACCTGCTTCCAGGTACGCAGCTTCATGCGGGCAGAATCCGAGGCGGATACATGCTCGAATCTGGTCCGCAGCGCGGCGCCCCACTCCGTCCATGTGCGTATCGTGGCCACTCCGAAGATTGAAGTTGCTCCTTGCGTGACAGTTGTCCAGGTCCCGTCATTCGCACGTGACAGTCCTGCCGGAGTCCCCTCTGTCTGAAGAGTCCGCCTCCACCACTCCAACGCCGGTCCTCGTAACAGTGACACTGCAAAATTAATGCGGTTGGCGTCGTCAGCAATTTGCGCAGCATTAAAAAACACCTCTACGCCGAACAGCCACGCAGACACCGTAACGGTTTTGTCGCAGGGGTTGAACGGGGGCGGGTTTGTCGGTTTTATTTTAACAGTTGTTGAGACTGTTGCTGCTGCATGCATCGGGGGCGCCACCGAAGCCATCGCCGGGGTTGTCGCTGGTGCCTGTCGTGGCGTCGTCTGCGACTGTTGCCTCGGCGCTGCTTGTGCTTGTTGCTGCGGCTGTTGCTGTTGCTCCTGCGTCCCTTGTGCTTGTTGCATGCGTGCCGTCCACTCATCTTCAGCGTCCAGCGCGTCTTGTAGCTCGCTAAGGACCTCGTCGTTAGGTGCGAAGCTGCTACTTGCTTCATCCACGACGGGCGACTCCTGACGCGCTTCACCTCGCGTCTGGCGTAGCTCGGCGTTTTCCACCCTCAGGCGCTCCAACTCGCCGTTCATGGACAGCATGTTGGCCTGCATCGCCCGAAAATCTTGCGCAAAGGCGTCAAACTCCGCCTGCGTCATGTTTCGGATACTCATCCTAGCGGGCAGCGGGTTAACAGCGATTTTTATGACTTTGATGAAGGCGCAAACGCTATTAGTCGGAGCGAGATAATCGTATCTATCTCTCAGCCGACCGCTTTGCAGCCCACCAAGTCTATCGCACCCCTGCACTAAAACTACCCCGGAAAGTGGTGGGTAACCTAGGAAAGTAGGCTCTGATACCAAGTGTTATGAGTTGTAAGAATGAAGAGTGCGCAGAATGCAATATCGAAGAAGTGATTACAACAACTGCTAAAACAACGAGGCCTAGGCACAATATAGCAAAGCTAGCTAGGCCGAGGTCGCGGAGTCGCGCGAAGGTTGGGTGCAGGTTTGGGGTTGGAACCCCGAACGCGACGCGGTTGACGTTCGGAAGGCGAGGTCGTCGGACCGAGCCTGAATTCCGAAAGTTGGAATTGTACGCGTAAGGGCTGCCTCAGTAAGGAATTAGAAAAATTCCTTCCAGTGCGTTTGGTCACACGTCTTTCTGGAAAGTCCATTTGTTATTGCGGAGCAACATGATGTGAAACGTTATCGTGTCCTTTATGCGTATGTCAACACACAAAACATGTAGACAGGCTTTCTATTTCAACTTTTAAAGAGCTGATATACTGTAGGCGCCCAACCAATCAACTGCCTGCTCATCATAAGGAGCTGGCGTCGCGTCCAACATCCCCTCACTTCCGTCAGTTGCGGCGCCCCGTCGCACGTCGCTGGTGATCCCCCCAGTTGTTGCTCTCGAGGCGCATATAGAAATGGCAACATTTTGTCGGGAAGTCGTCTCTGTACATTTCATGGGCGCATTTGATCGACGAGATGGGGCAAATTCAAGGACGAAGAGGCTTCGCCTCCTACCCATCGCTGCCGGAACAAGCTTGAAAACGCAGTCCCCGAGTCGAACCCACACAACTCATATCATCTTGGCTTTCTTCCGTCTCGAGGAGTGCTAGTCCCGTTCTATCCCTCGCAACAGAAGCTCCTGAATCCTGATACTCTTCTGAAGGCTTGATAAAATGGTTTCGTTACGGAGCATGTTGCTGTCAGGTGCGTTCTCTCGTTTTCCGTCTCTCCTCACCTGTCACTCCAAGACGAATTGTATCTCATTGTTTCTGGTGTCGCAATCTTACCACGAACCGGCCTCGCTCTGTCGGAACGATATCACCCCGCCATATCTCGGCGTTACAAACTTGTGTCTACCCTTCTTTCCGTTTAACCAAACTCTTGTTCGCGTTTACCAGAGAGACTTCGCAATCGACTGTACATCTCATCGCAAGGCTTATCGTTTTTGCCGGGCTTTCCTGCTCGTCATTTTCTTCCAGTTTCACCACTATCTTGTCTCAATTTATCAACGCATTTTTGTACCTCAACCATTTTCTAACTTCTGCAGGAATTCTAATCTTGTCGCTTGTCGCCACAACACACGCCCAGAGCCTCTCCGCATTCGTCCCTTTCCCTGGCCTCCCTCGATGTACGTCCTCCAGTGTAGTCTCATGCTGTAACCTCGTTTGCTGTCGCAAGGCATCTCGCCACTCCTGTCGCCACGGTTATTGCAACAGCTGTCATCACGCCTGTCGTCAAGGCTGTCGTTCCAATGCCTCACCATCGTGTCTTTCAGCGGCACTGCCGTTTCTCAGTCTTAGCACAAACACTTCCCCCAACTTCATCCCGTTATGTTATGCCAGGTGTGCTTCTAGCGGGTCTGGAGCCGAATAAAATCCTCCAGTACCATCCTCTGGGTGACATAGGAGCGACAGGCACATTCCGCATCTCCGTATTTGAGTGAGTCTCCGAGTGCTGTGCCATCCTTCGATGTATCTGTCTTCACGTTTCTTCGAACTTTCGCGGTTGATTTGAAAGCAAGGCGTTCGGGTATTCCCTGCATTTTCGTCATTCGCCAATCCCAGAACGCAAGGAAATATCAACCTCACTCCGGTGTATAGCGGCCTCCTTTTTCGAGTCGACTAATACTCTATTCTCCAATCACAAACCCCCGATTCCAGGATGCAAGGGAAGATCAACCTCAAGTTTAAGGTCGACAGCACTCGACTCTCCGGCCCGCTTCCCCCGCGCAACATCACCCTCTTCGACTCGCGCTCAGGCGGCGCGATGGGTTACCCGATCTTCGGAATCAACGGCAAGTGGACGTCCACCCCCTCGGCGTCGCAGGTCTCGCTGCGCACGTGGATCATGGACGCGGGAAACAAGTTCCCGCCGGGGTCGACAGTTTCGTACTACGACTTGGTGAAGCAGGTTGATTTGAGTCCGCGGAGCTTCTTCGGGTCGGTGACAACGGAACGGTATAAGTGGGGTGCTTTAAGGGGGAGGTTCCAACGTGGAGCTGTGAACATGTTTTCACCTGTGCCCCTGTGCTAAGCTTGGCGGTAGAGGTCTTAGGCGAAACACTTTCTAGCTGCTAAGTAGCTTTTATTCCTAGTTCCTACTTGTTTTTCCTGGTCAAGCACATTGCTTGGTGTCTAACAGTGCGTAAAAAAAGATTTGCATAGAGAGCCTACCATGGTGTTCCCAGCAGCAGTTCATCTTACATTCAAACTTTCACTTGCCATGACAAAGCGGACAGAGAATACCGTGTTATTGGTCTTGAAATTGGCTGTTGAAATAATGAGCAGAAACCGATATAGAGCGTTAGTCTTGATCTCCCTGCAACTGCAGGGTGCTTAGACTTGCCTTTCAGAATGGTGGTTGTGGAATGAATGATGTAACACATTGAAGAACATTACAGTAGCGCGTATGACTCCGGGTGTTCCGATTGGCCTCCGTGTGTGTGAGTTTGTCGCAGTCGGCGTATTGACGATCACCATCAATTTTCATCGCATAGTACGTGGTCTGGTCGACCGACTTTCGCCAGCGGGTTTCGCTTGGTCATGCGTGCCGACAAACGCTTCTGCCCCAAGCACCCACCCCCAGCCTTCACTGACCTGCGACGTGCGAACGATTAGGCTTATCTGGGAGCATCGCAAACTGGGCTTCGCCATCGCGTCGCGTCGGTGACGATGGGCGCGCATTCGTTTCAAATTCAGTTGGGGGGAAGTCGAATTTCGTCGAATTCCTCCCACCCCACCACCAACTTGCGTTACGTCCGTCCCTCCCTCCACCTCCACCACTTCCCCCATTTCCCCAACCGACATCCATCATCAAGAATTTACCTGTACTTGTGCACACAAAACAATCCACTGCCATTTTTTGGTTCAACACGTCGTTTCCCTTCTAGCACTCCCGCCGCATCTTCCGCACATCATAAATTAACTTACAGAATAACACAACAGCAGATCGAATGTTGAGATACTACGACCAGAGCAGCCCTTTTCCAGTTTAATAGCTTGCACTGCGCTACTTCGTCCTCGTTACGACCACACAGAGAAGCTGCCGCTGATTTGCATATGGCGTTTCTAGTCAAGCGCTCTTTTCCAGGTAACAGGAGGGAATCAGTTTCTGTACTGGGCTCCGTGACGCCAGTGCAAATGCTTTTGAGTCGACTCAAAAGCAGACTCCGTGACGCCAGAGCAAAGGAGTTGTTTCAGTCGTCCTTGCAGTCGGAAAAAGGAGTCACTGAATCCCGTCCTTGTTCGGGACAAGAAATCACTGAGTCCCGTCAATGGATTCGGGAAAAAAAAGTCAGTGAATCCCGTCATTTATCAATTTCTCTGCTATGCTGTGGTCAACAGGTTTGCTTCTTCTACTATTGCTCGTCGCCGTTACAGCCATCGCTGCATCCGCCGCTACATCCGCCGCTACAGCCGCCGCAGTCGGACCCATCAGAGGAGCCGTTCCTCCGCCGGGCATTTTACAATGTAGTTTTCACCTGCCCGCACACGCACGTTCGTTTAGGTCGACTGATAAACACACATCCATCTGCCGGCTCACGCAAATAGCTCATCTGCTTCCTGCTGCCTCCTGCTGGCCAAAATCATATGCATCTCCACTTATTTCCTGAAATTTTCCGTCGTTTCCGTTTTTGTCAGTCTCCCTTGCGCCCCATACGCCCCTGTCCTCGCACCACTGTTGGAAGCACTGTCACACAGTCACACTTCTCACACTTCTTTGTTGCCGCATTCGTCGTTGTCACACGCAGGTAGCTTGCGGGTTGACCTGAAGAGCAACGAAGTCATCAGCTCGTCGCTCGGCGGGGACCTCGGCGGCACTGGCGACCTAAACATCTACGTGTACAAGTAAGTAGGCATCTGCAATCACACTCCGCGATCACTTCTCAATAAATGGCTGCAAGGAGAGGTGACATCTACGCATAAACTTTGAGACGTCACAAAGACAAAGTTGGTCGTTATGTGGCTTCGGCAGCACTGACAGCCTCAACAAGTAAGAACACAATTTATATCTGAGTGGATTCAAGAAATCGCCACAACATCTACCTCAACAATACGAACACATGATGGATTGTGCCTGCTAACGAGACATCTACTAGAGAGACATCTACACATCCTCATCCACCACACCCACCCGGTTTCTCAGCCCAAGGAAAACATGCGTCCTCCCCGCCTAGTAGACCTTCAGCCCTTCATCATCCCCCATTGCTGTACCCTATGCCTCCCCCAGCAGTATCTCTTAAACACTAATCTTCTTCTCTTTATTAATGGTGGACTTTATTATGGGCCTTGAACTTGAATCTGCAGGTATCAAGGAGGGTTGGACGTCCATATCAGTTACAACACACACCAGCTTTCCCTCCCAATGCCACCTCTCAACCAATCCATTAACCTTGGGACACGTGGCACCAATGGTGACGTGGCGTGGAACATTGAGGGCACGTGGACGCAACGAAACGAGGATCAGTTGGAGCTACACCGTGTTTTCAAGCGCGCACCGCAAGTCATGATCCTCGGTACAAGCACATCCGTTTACAAGATGGTGAAAATGATCGGCCAAAATCCAGAGAATTTCTACGCAACAATCGCTACAGACATGTATCCTGAAGGAGCTATCCGTGGGCAGTTCTTGCGAAGGTTCCCTGGTCCTAGATGCTAGGACTTAACCACTGAAAGTGGACACAATTTTGGATACTGCAGTTGCATTACATGTAACAAAGTGTACTTAAAGCCCGAGATCAGCATGGTTTTTGCCAAAATTATTGACGGGCTTTAACTTTGTTGGCGAAATGGAAAAATGTTCATTTCGGGAAGATGGGCGTGGCGAAAGCGAAGTCAGACAACGAGATTGTTTAGTCGTCACTCAACATCACTTGGAGCACGCGACAAATCAACCCAACCTAAGCGTGCAATCCCAACCTCACTAATCACGGGGTAGTAATAATCATATACGAGAAAAAATCATTTTGACAGCGCATCAAAGAATAGAATACGCTGGAACTCCACAAGTCGCGCCGCCCCTTCCCTCATCGAGCTCCTCCCCTCGTCGCGCTTCCCATTGCCACGTTCCCCCGCCCATCTTCGCGCCACCCCCAGTCGCGCCACTCATTCTTTTGCCGCGCATCCTCTTGTGCCTCGCCTCCCGTCGTCGCGCCTCACCTCGCCGCGCCTCACCTCGCCGCGCCTCAACTCGCCGCGCCTCCTGTCCCATTGTCACGTCGACCCTCTTTACTGGGATCATCCGTTCGTCACGCCGCCGCTCGCCTCGCCGCGCCTCCGCTCCCCTTGCAGCGCCTCTGCTCGCGGCGCCGCGCCTCCGCTAGCCTCGCCGCGCCTCCGCTCACCTCGCCGCGCATCCCCTGCCATCAGCGCGCCAGCACCCTCGTCTCGCTGCCCCTCCTCGCGCCTCACTCCCGTTGCCCTTCTCCCACCTGCCCATCCGTTGCCCTCGTTTCCCTGCACTTCCATTCCCACGTGTTACCTTCCCCTCATTCCCCGTATGCTTCCCCTCATTCCTCGTATGCTTCCCTCTTCTCTTCCCCCTCTTCCCTGTCTCCCCTATCTCCACGCTTCCAATCTCTACCTGTTTGACTTTTTTCTTGTTCCGCCTCCCCCTGGCTGTTGCAGTAACTACACTGAAGTTTTATTCTGGTGCTTCGACTCCCCTCAACCCAACATCCCATCCCATGCTCGTAGAGTTACAGTTCCCCTCATGTTTTTTTCAGGGCCTTTAGAAAGGTTCAGTCGTATCGCTTCCCTTGACCTTTGCTTACAATCAGAAGTATTAGAACATGCCTACATGTACCCTTCTGACACATAGCATCCCTGCATCTTGGAATAATTTTTGCACTGCAGAAACAAAAGTACATTGTAGTGTGCCTTTGGAATGCATATCTCCAACGGTACTACTGTACCATGCTTGCATACAGCAAACAAGAAACAGGTGGTGGTACCATGTAAAGCATCGACTAGCTGCGCCTCAGCTAGCAATTGTTGCTCCTCTGCTTCACCACTGAAAAATATGGGAGTGGAGTAGGCAGAAAGTACTGTGTGAAGGAACATGGGGGAGGTGGTGTGAGGTGCAAGGGAACAACGGCAACAGCAAGGGAACATGATGAAAGCATGCATGGGGAGACAGTGATGGGTGCATATGCATGGGAACTAGAGAGTGGAAGGTGAGGAGTGAGGGGGAAGAGGAATGCATGAAAAGGAAGGGAAGAGTTGAGAAGGGATGGGGAAGGGAAGCGCAGGGCAGGGAGGGAAAGGCAGGGATGGGGAGGGCAGGGCAGGTGGGAACATGGCAGAGGGTGGGGGGAAGGAGGGTTGAGGGTGGTGGGAAGGATGGGAGGAAGGAGGGAGATAGTGTGGGTGCGAGGAGAGAGAGAGTGCAGGAGGAGGGAGAGAGTGGGTGGGAAGAATGAGAGATGGCGGCAGAACGGAATGGGAGAGGGTGGGCGGAACAGAATGAGAAAGGCAGGCTGACACGCAGCGCCCGCACTTGCGAGAAGCATTTTCCCAACGAGAGAGGTGGGGAGCTGCCAGCGGTAGGGAGAGGAAGGACACCTGGGCAGGGAGTGGAAGGACACAAGGAGAGGGAGACTATGGGGGGAAGCAGGGAGGGGGATTGGGGGAGGCAGGGAAAGAGATGGGAGGGAGCAGGGAAGGAGATGGGGGGGCAGGGAAGGAGACGGGGGGGAGCAGGGAAGGGGATGGGGGGAAGCAGGGAAGGGGATGGGGGAAAGCAAGGAAGGGGATGGGGGAAAGCAAGGAAGGGGATGGGGGGAAGCAGGGAAGGGGATGGGGGAAAGCAAGGAAGGGGATGGGGGGAAGCAGGGAAGGGGATGGGGGGAAGCAGGGAAGGGGATGGGGGGAAGCAGGGAAGGGGATGGGGGGAAGCAGGGAAGGGGATGAGGGGGAGCAGGGAAGGGAATGGGTGTGGGCAGGGCAGGGGAGGCGGGGAAGCAGAAAAGGGGATGAGAGAAGCAGGGCTGGGGATACGGGGAAAGAATGAAGAGGATGGAGGGAAGCAGGGCATAAGATGGGGGGAAGAAGGGAAGTGATAGGGGGGAAGCAGGGAAGGTGATGGGGGAAGCAGGGAAGGGGACATGGGGAAGCAGGGAAGGGGAGTGGGGGAAGTAAGAAAAGGGATGGGGGGAAGCAGGGAAGGGGACATGGGGAAGCAGGGAAGGGGAGGGGGGGAAGCAGGGAAGGGGATTGGAGGCGGCATGGAAGGGGATGGGGAGAGTGGGAGAGGTAAGCAGTGTGGGGGAGATTTGCGATTATTGGGGGGAGGGAAGGGCGTTTGTAAGGGTAGAAAAGGGAGGGTGACGGGCGGAAGGGAGGGGCGGAAGGGAGGGCGACGGGCGGAAGGGAGGGGCGGAAGGGAGGGGCGGAAGGGAGGGTGACGGGCGGAAGGGAGGGCGACGGGCGGAAGGGAGGGGCGGAAGGGGGCGGAAGGGAGGGCGACGGACGGAAGGGAGGGGCGGAAGGGAGGAGCGGAAGGGAGGGGCGGAAGGGAGGGGCGGAAGGGAGGGGCGGAAGGGAGGGGCGGAAGGGAGGGGCGGAAGGGAGGGGCGTAAGGGAGGGCGACGCTTGGATGGGAGGGCGACGGGCGGAAGGGAGGGCGACGCGCAGAAGGGAGGGCGGCGTGCGCCAGAGAGGGCGACGGGCGGAAGGGAGGGCGACGGGCGGACGGGAGAGCGACGCGCGGATGGGAGATACAACGCGCGGATGGGAGATACAACGCGCGGATGGGAGAACGCCGTGGGTCAGGGAGGACGACGGGCAAAAGGGTGGGCGACGAGCGGATGGAAGGCGACGGGCGGAAGGGAGGTCGGCGAATGGAAGGGAGAGACGAGCGGAAGCGTGTGCTCTGAAAGGAAACGTGATTGACGTAAGGAAGCGTGGGCGACGTAAGGAAGCAACTACCAGGAGCGAAGGAACCAAAGGCGTCGCGGGCAGGCGAAAGCGACGGGGCCTAAACCTAAGTGACCAGCGAGCATGTTTTACAAAGCAGTTCTAATTCGTTCTTTGGTAAATCACTGGCAGAAAAAGAGATAGGGAGTGATCCCTTGGGCGTGAATAGCGGGTGAACTAGGAAGTATGACGTGCATTTAGTACCAGATGGTTTTCAAGTTCAGTTCAAGTGAACAGTGCTGCCTTTCCAAGTCTCCCTCCGCTCGGTAGGACATTGAGTGTCGCTGGCCAATCACGGATCACTATCGTGAGAGAATGCTCGACTTTAGGTGGTAACTTGGTTTTTGGCGAATTCATATTCAAGAATCTTGAATATGAAAACAGCCATGTAGTACTCGGGCTTTAAATAAATTCCGAGTTATGGGCGCCAGGGGCAGGGACATGGCTCTGTACATTCACAGTTAGACGCGCCAAGGTGTAACATAATGTTGGAAAACTGACTCTTGGAAGCCTGGCTGAAGGCTTGGTCTGGTGTGCTGTGGTGCTGAGCTGTGGTGCTGCAATGGATGGTGTGGCATGGCGTGGCGTAGCGTGGTGTGGCATGGCATGGTGTGGCATGGCATGGTGTGGCATGGCATCATGGCATCTGCAGGCACCAGCTAAAGGTGGAGTGAGATATCAGCCTGATCAATCAGAGCTGCCCCCCACCCACTCTTTTGTGTACCCTGACCATCATGAGAAAATTAGAGGAACTTTCTGCTCAAATGATTCTTCGGAGCTTGTTTTGTCAGGGTGTTCAACACGGTAGGTACATGGGAATGCCCAAGTGCCTCATTCTGTACTCAGCATTACATTGCCAGGCTAAATGTTGGAAAAGCAAGCAGTCACAGACAACAGCAGACACACATACAGTGCCACAAACACACATACACGGCATTAAAAATCTCTACTGACTGATTTGTAGGTAACAGATGCATGACAAACAGCAGACATCATGTGAAGTCACATATGCCAAACCAGCCAATTGAGTCAGTAAAATGACACGTGGAGAAGGCCAACTGTCATACAGAGAACCACTGAGAAGTCAGGTTGAAACAAAAGCAAGAAGTCACACAGTCAGAGGGACTCACTCACAGACTGATGCAAGTACCTCGCAAGGCAAGCACCGTACCACTGAGGGGTTGGTGTAAGCAAAAGCAAGAAGTCACATTCACATAGCCAAAGGGATTCACTGACAAGACTATTGCAAGAACCTAGGGGCAGGAGGAGGGGAAGATGGGGGATTGAGTGGGCGGAGGGGAAGATGGGGGATTGAGTGGGCGGAGGAGAAGATGGGGGATTGAGTGGGAGAGGGGCGTGGAGGGAATTGAAGGAGAGCTGCGAGGAAATGAGGGGTGAGTGGTGGTGGAATGAGCGATGGGGGGGAGGGGGGGGGGCTAGGAGAGCGGGGGAGGGGGGAAGGGGGAAGAGAGGGGGGGGGGGGGGGTGGTTCGTTGCCTGGCAAGAGGGATGGATGGGGGATGCGCATGAGGAGTGAATGGGTGGGGGCAGATGAGGGGTAAGTGGGGGAAAGCAGACGGGAGGGAGGGGGGATGGGGGATGGTTAGGACGGACATGAAGGGGCAAAGGGGGTGACGGAAATGAGAGGTGATGGGGGGCGGTGGAAGGGGAGGGGAAGAGGGGGGAAAGGGAAGGGGAAAGGGAAGAGGAGGGGGAACGAGGGGTGAGCAGAGCGAAGATGAGAAGTGGGTGCAGAGGGGGGAAGCAAGGGAGCACGGGGGGATAAGATAAGTGGCGCACGCAGGCTACTGAGGGGAGAGCTGGGAAGCGTGGGGGAGAGCGGGAGAGAACAAGAGAGAGCGTGGGGGATGAGAGATGCATGACGTTGCTAGGGAAGGCCAGGGGAGGAGTGGGGAGGGAAATGGGGAGAGTTGTGAGAAAGAGTACTCTCCGTTGTGGTGTCACTTGACGCGCTTCAAATAACGACTTTCACCAGTCCATTCCTTTCCCATTTGCTCTCTTACCCCTCTTTTCCCTGCCGACCTCCCCTTTTCCACTTTCTTGTGCATCGGCCATGTGGCTTGCGTTCGTGTCATGCGTTTGAAAGTATAAAAAAATCGCCACGAATGTGTCTGCAAATCGGCGCTAAAATTCGCTCCGCAGATGAACGTTACAATATTCGAGCTAAAGAAACGTCAGATCTTACTAGTCACCAACTACAACTAATGGCGCGAATCTGGAACGAGCAACTAACTTTACAGAGTTGGCAATAGTAACCGCACTAGATGTGTGAAGCGGCGATCGCTGAAGTAGGACCGAAGCGCGAATAAGACTAGCTAAGGAACTGAGATCCAACTAAATACGGAAACAAGATCAAGACTCCATAGGGAAAAGAATTACCGCTTTTGCCTCAAAAAAATTAGTAAGCGACGGTAGCGAGATGAACGGTGACAGGAGAACTAATCCTCACTGACTCGATCTAAGGGGAGAGTAACTATTAGAACTGCATAATGCTGAACGCGAGGAATTAGGTATGGCAGGCGAGAAATTGTGAGGTGGGGGTTGTTGATTCAACGCCTTGGTGCTAGCGTGAGGGTGACAGAAACATTCCGTGCTGTCGTGGAAACACCCTTCATTCCTATTGGCTAGCTAAATTCCTTCAGGATCACCTCTAAATTCCTTCAGGGTCACCTTCGTACTTTCAGCTGCCCAAGTCAGGTTCGGAGGAGCGAAATGAAATGCGGAGAAAAGCTAAACTTTTAGGTTCCTGCGTGGCGCAGTAAGTTTTCTGCGCCACGCAGGATTCCCGAACCATCCCTCCGCCGTCCCGCACCTTACGCAAAACTCACGCCAAAACTCGTAATTTAATATTTAGAGAAGCGCCACGTCTACCACCTCCTAGAAAGTTCAAGCCTGCCCAGCCCGTTATTCTTTGAACCCACAGTTCAAGCAACCTCTCCCACGCGATACGCGCCCTCAGCAGATTCGTTTGCAAAAAGTACACAACCAGAATTACAGAATCAAGTTCGTGAATGAACTGCACAACCTGGTTTGGTTGGGGGTTCGGTTTGGAAATTTGGGCCGCCATTTGCCAGACCATGCGGCTCGGAATATCCGACCATGCCACTTCGTAGGCGGGGATTTGAATCTGCCACTGTAGGTTTGACCCATTCTGCCACTGTACTTCCAGCCGCTTTGCGGCGTTGACCCATCACATTTGGATTGGAGTCGCGCGGTTTCGCGCCGTGGTGCCGCTAACCAACAAACTCTCTCGTTCTGGTTCAGTTGCCTCATCCTCCTCACCCTCGACTCACTTCTGCTCTTAGTCCCTTCCATAGCGTTCATTTCCACTTCCTTCACGAATTCAATCTTCGACTTCCAGTAAAGATCCTAACCTAATGAGCTCCTTTTGGACTTTTGGCTACTCGCTCCTCGGAGCAAACTTTCGAAGCCACCCGGCTAGTGATTTGGGAAAGCTTAGGCATGCGGCAGCGCGAGGTCGTGTAGAGAGTCTAGATTAGCGTGGTTGGGGTGGGCTGGGTAGATTAGAGTCTGAGCGAGCTGCCAAGTGCCTAAGGCTGAACCTTTCACAAAACCGGGTTTTCGCGGCAAGATTTTTCACCGCGACGAATTCAAGATATCACCACAAGATCCGCACGGCGAGATCTTCACGCCAAAAACTTCCACGGCGATATCTTCGCGGCGAGATCTTAATGGCGATCTTAATGGCGAAGCATCCGCTTCAAGATCGCTGCTGCAAGAGCTTCAAGGGCTTCAAGGGCTTCAGGAGCTTCAAGTGCTTCAAGAGCTGCAAGAGCTTCAAGTGCTTCAAGAGCTTCATGAGCTTCAAGAGCTTCAGGTGTCGCATGGCGCCTCCCCTGCTGGCGCGGCCGCCATGACCAAGTCCCACGAGTCGGTAAGTCAATTTGTTTTCAACTCCTTGCTGCAACCGTTTCTTGGCAAGTTAGGTTCTGATTGGTTCGACATAGTTCAAGTGCTAATTTGATTTTCTTTCCTTCCGCAGACCTCTCGGTGGAGACATGAAGCGCCGACGCTAACACTTGAGCCCTCTACAACACGGGGTTTTCGCGGCAAATTCAAGACTCCGCAGCGAGATCCGCATAGCGACAAGAACTTCCACGGCGACATCATCGCGGCTCCGCTCCGGCCTTCACCACCAACATGGAGATTGTCGAGAGGGGGTAAGCGGCAACTATCTCGACTTCGTTCTGTCACTCAATGCCTCGACATTGTTCAACAGTTTCTGACCTGTTGCCTTCTTTCCGCAGACCTCTTGGCCGTCTTGGCGAGACTCGAAGTGCCGACATTGAAGCCAAAGATCTTCACCCGCAAGATCTTCAAGCCAAGATCTTCAAGTCAAGCTCTTCCAAGGCGACATCTTCACGGCTCCAAGTGCTTCAAGTGGCCTTCCCCATCGGTGCCCCCGTCTCATTAAGACAGTCGAGTGGGGGTAAGTGCAACTTGTTTTCAACTTCTTCTTGCAATTGTTTTCGGTTGGTTAATTTCTTCAGCTCTAAATTGTTCAACATTATTCAAGCACTGACCTCTTGCTTTATTCCACGCAGACCTCTTGGCGACCGTCTTGACTCGAAGTGTCAACGCAAGGACTTGAAGCGCCGACGCTAACACTTGAACCGTCAACAACCACCGAACGCGGATAGGAGCTACCACCGTCGCTGCGTGAAGTCTTCACGTTTTCACGAAGAGATGAAGACGCTTGGCATAAGTGCAGTCTTCCTAATTTAAGTAAGCGTTTCGCTCGTTTTTTTAAGTTCCACCCTTTCTAAGATTTAAATATTTTTTGAAGGGAATAATACTAACGCGTCTTTCGTTGACCCGGCAGGCGACCAACGACGAGAGAGGCCATCCGACGGAACCTTCAATCGACCAAGCTCTCTCCTAACAACGACGGTCCAAGCTCTCACTCAACGACAACGACGGCGATTTCCGCCGTGCACAATGCCACTGAAGCCGCAGCGTCCGCCCTGCTTTGTCCCGAGTCAGTGTCGTTGCGGAGCTGCATTTCCCAGGAAATTCAGCTTCACAACGTCACTGACTCGGGTCAAAGAAAAACGGACGCTGCGGCTTCTGCAGCATTGTGCATGGCGACTCTCCCGTCGCGCGGAAATCCACTTTACGTTTGGCGACGCTTCACTCAAGTCTTTACGATGAAGTTCTCTTCCAAGCCTCATCACAATCAACGTAAGTGCGGTTCCGTTTCAGACTCTTCAACTACAATTTTTTTTTTTACATATCTGCACTAACGTATTCGTTATTTCATGCAGATTCACGACATCGTCGCGAGTGGCGCTTCTATCGTCGCGTGGCGTTAGGCGACGGCGCGTCCCCTGATGAGGGTTCTTCCGGCGCTAGTGCCGCTTTCATTGCCGGATGGTAAGAACGCGATAACACCACCACCAGTTTCGATGGTTTTTCAACGGTTATTCGTCCTTTTTTCAACGGTTCAGCTTAAAGCTTTCCTTGTTCCTTGCAGATGGTGAGGAGACCCGTTGATGGCGCTTCTCCCGTCCTGCCATGGCGACGAGTATCCCGCCGCACGGCGTCGCTTCGGCGGGAGCATGACGACTCTTCACCCGTCGCGCGGCGCTTCGCACCGCGCCGGCGACGCCTCTCAGATTTGTCGCCGTTTTTCGTTTCGTCATCTTCCATTTTGTTATCTTTTCTTCGGCCTTCTTTCACTCGTGGCATGACGTGGTCGATGCGCAGCCAGGAATGAAGAAAGGCCAAGACGTCAACGTCAACGTCAACGACCAAGACGACCAAGACGACCAAGACGACCAAGAGGTCAACGTCAACGTCAACGGCCAAGCCGACCAAGACGTCAACGTCAACGTCAACAACCAAGCCGACCAAGACGACCAAGACGACCAAGACGACCAAGACGACCAAGACGACCAAGACGACCAAGACGACCAAGACGACCAAGACGACCAAGACGACCAAGACGACCAAGACGACCAAGACGACCAAGACGACCAAGACGACCAAGACGACCAAGACGACCAAGACGACCAAGACGACCAAGACGACCAAGACGACCAAGACGACCAAGACGACCAAGACGACCAAGACGACCGTCAACGTCAACGTCAACGTCGACGTCGACCACGGTAAAAGCCCGAGCGGCTTTCACGGTAAGAACCGTCTAATTTCGTTTTGCTGCTTCCTCTTCCGGATATCTAACGCCTTTGTCGTGTTCCTCTGTGCAGAGCAGCAGGAGGAGCAGCAACTACAGCGAGTAAGGGAGGTAAAGGAGAGCTACTAGCTCTCTCTCTCCTCTTCTCTGGTAAGTACGGTCGCATTCTGTCGAATTGATTCCTTTTCGAAATCTAATGTGTGCCTTTATTGTTTGTTGCCTTGAGCGCAGGAGGAGCATGCGGGAACAACGGAAGCGGGAATGGGAGCTCGCGGGTCAGCGACTCGCGGGAATGGGAGCTCAAGGGAAGTAACGCGGGGAGGTGGTCTCACATCCACGGTAAGTATCGTCGAATTTCGTTAAGCTTATTCTTCGTTTATGAAACTAACTTCTTTGTGTGTGTTCGTTTCTCTTCGCGCAGCGGAAGTGGCGGAAGGGAGCTCGCGGGGGCTGCGGCGAACAAAGGAGGTAAAAGCCCCGGAGGCTTTCACGGTAAGAACCGTCTGCTTTCGTTTCGCTGCTTCCTTTTCCGTAAACTTCATGCTTTTTTCGTGTTCGTGTTCTCTTAGTGCAGGAGGACTTTGGAGGAGGCAGCAACGGTAGGGGAGGAGCGACGACGGGAGAAAGAGCTCTTCCTCGTCATTCTTTGGTAAGACAAGTTCCAAATTTTCAGAATCTCGAGCTTCAATTTCAGCCAAGTTTAATTTTCTTTGTTAAACATGGATACTAACAGTTGATTTCGTGTTCTTTGTCTTCAGTGCAGGAGGTAGCGGCAGCATCGGCAGGAGGAGGAACGACAACGGGAGAGAACTCTCTTCCTCTTCTTTCTCTGGTTAGTAGCGTCAACTTCAGCCAAGTTGAATTTTCTTCGTTAAACTTGAATACTAACGGTTGACTTCGTGTGATTTGTCTTCAGTGCAGGAGCTTGCGGCAACAACGGCAGCGAGGGAGCGACAACGGGAGCGTGGGAGCAACAACGGGAGCGAGGGTAAGTCCCGTCGGTTTCAACTTAGTCTGATTCCGTCTGCCTGTTTTCCGTTTCAAAGAATCGAGCTTATTTTATTGGCCGTTTAATCTTATTCTTTTGCTTCCTTCCTGCAGAGCCTGACCGTACGCCGGCGCATGGGAGCACGGCGACACATGGACGAATGGCGACGAACGGGGGACGCGCGGCGACTTACGGAGACGCGTAGGTCTCGTAGGATTCAACTCATTCTGCTTTCGTCGATTCTGCTTTCGTCAACTTTTTGATTTTGTTACTCCTGCAGAGCCTGACCGTCCGCCGGCGCGCGGCGACTAACGGAGACACGCGGCGACGAATGGGACGCATGGCGAGGCACGACCGATGATTTTCAGGCGCGCGCACGGCGTGCCCCACTGGCGAGGCGCTTCTCTCGGACTTCAGAGTCTGCCGTGATGTGCTGGTAAGTCCCGTAGGATTCAACTCAGCTTTCGTCGATTCTGCTTTTTACGTTTCCAAGAATCTAACTTGTGATTTGATTTTGTTACTCCTGCAGAGCCTGACCGTCCGCCGCGCACGGGACGCTTGGGGTGGGGACGGCGAGGCATGGCGAAGCTTCATGGCGACGAATGGCGCGTGTCTCACGTCGCAAGGGGACGTCGCAAGGGGACGCTACGAGCAACACCTCGCTCCGGTAAAGTGTGTCCGTTTATCAGTTTTAGCGATCTAGGTTCAACGCGTCTTGGCTGCATATTTTTTATTTGAGTTTTCTACGTTCTAATGCTGCTTTGCTTTTTTGCTGCAGAGGCCGACGCGCACGATACACGGCGACAATGGCGACGAACGGGGGACGCGAGGCACGAACAGAGAGACAAGCGGCGACGAATGGGGACGCAAGGGAAACGCGGCGACGAATGGCGACGCGCGGCGACGAACGGGACTCGCGGCGATGAACGGAGACGCGCGGCGACAATGGAGACGCATGCGGCGCACGGCGTGTCCCACTGGCGAAGGCGCGGACACGGGCGCACGGCGCTTGGCGGCGCTTCTCTCTGGAAGGAGCAAGGAGCAAGGCGCGAAGAGCGAGGATGGAATTTGACTTCCCCCTCCCATCCCGCCCTTTCTGACAGTTTGGCGGGAGCGGGAGCAACCAGCACAAACGCCAGGCCTGTAAGAGGGGTGGTGATGGGTACTAACATGGGTATAGGACGATTAGGAGCGCGTTAGATAGACTCGATTAGGCACTAACATGGGCGTCCTATTGACGGCTGGCCGTCATTCTGACATCATTCTGACAACAGGGAACCTATCGTCAAATTCGAGGTGTTTATTTTCATCTGCCCGTCACTAATTTTGACCGTTTCTCCCCCTCCCAAGCACTTTCCCGCCCCCCCCCCCCTCCCTCCCAAGCAGGCCCCACGCGAATGGCCCCCACCTCATCGTGGTGCGTGGGTGTAACGTCAGAGGCATTTCCCTCTGACGGCCAAGAGGGGTCAAGAAGACGGCCAAGCTGCTGTGAAGGTTCAAGACTTTCAAGCTGCTGTGGAGGAGCTGCTGTGGAGCCGCAGGAGGATCTGTTTACACTTGGCTTAGGGAGTCTAGAAAGCTAGCTGTTCTGACTTGTAACTCTCTTCTGAATGAAATTTCCTTCGACTTTTCAACACCTCGAACTGTTAATAACTTTCGTATAAATACGCGCCTGAACCTGAACTGAAGAACAGGACATCTGCAAATGTAGAAGTGGACATGTGCTTGGCGACACTCTGCTGGTTGATTTTGTATTTCTGGTTTGTGTTGCTCTTTCTGCAAACGAATCTGCTGAGGGCGCGTATCTGTGAGGGAGACAGCAAATTGGAGAAGTATGGGCTAGGGCAGGCTTGAACTTTCTAGCAGGTGGTGACGTGGCGCTTTTCTAATTAATGTAGAGTTCTTGCGTGAATCTGGCGTAAGGTGCGGGACGGCGAATGGATAGTTAGCAAATTCCTGCGTGAGCAATTTTCTGGCTTTCCGAACCTCAATTGGGCATCTGAAAATACAATTTGATCCTGGAGGAATTTTCGCGAACCAATAGATGTGAAGGGTGTTGCCACGGTAGCACGAACAGAATGTTTTCGCCACCCCAGCCCAACCACCACCGAGGCATTGAACCGACCTCACAATCTCTTACGTACCTAATTCTTCTCATTCGTCATAATCCAGTTCTACTAGCTAATTCCATTCTGTTAGAACAATGCAGTGTCGATTTCTCGCATCACCGTACATCTCGCTGCCGCCGCCTACTGATTTCTGGAGGCAAAAGCGGTAGTTATTTTTCACGTGGAGTTCCTAATCTTGTTTCCGTAACTAGTTACATCTCAGTACCGTAGCTAGTCTCATCGCGCTTCAGTCCTACTTCAGCGTTCGCCGCTTCACACATTTAGTGCGGTGCTGCTAACGTCGAAGGTACTGTGTTAGCTGCTCTCTCCAGATTTGCAACAGTAATCGTATCTGTCGTTTGCCTGTACTGCTTAGATCTGACGATTTTTAAGCTCCTGAATTTATCTGCGTTTGGAACATAATTGTAGATTCGCGGACACATTCGTAACGCTTCGTTGAAGTCTATTTGGGAGTCGAGAATAAAAATAAGAAGACGTTTGCGCAGAGGGTGAGAGCTGCGCGGGGGGTGAGAGCTGCGCGGGGGGTGAGAGCTGCACGGGGGGGTGGGAGCTGTGCGGGGGGGTGAGAGCTGCGGGGGGGGTGAGAGCTGCGGGGGGTGAGAGCTGCGGGGGGGGGGGGGGGGGGGGGGGGGGGAGCTGGGGGGGGGGGGGGGGGGGGAGGGGGGGGGGGGGGGGGGGGGGGGGGGGGGAGGAGAGCTGCGCGGGGGGTGAGAGCTGCAGGGGGGGGGGAGAGCTGCGCGGGGGGTGAGAGCTGTGGCGGGGGTTGAGAGCCAAGCAGCACCCGCTGTTTCTTCACTTGCCTTGCCAAAGTGCTTAGCTAAGTGTATTTCCCGCTATGCCTCTTCTTTAAGTGTTCCTCCTTCGCTTCCACTCTATGTCATGTGCTGCCCTGCATTCTTTATGCACCTGGTTTAGGCCTGCCTGCCTCACAAGCCACAAACCCCCTTCCCCCTTCCCTCTTCCCCTCAGGCTCTGGTTCAGCCTTCCTGAAGCTTTGCAGCCCCCTCAGGTTCGCCGAGGGGTGTGTAACTTGCGGCTGTGCTTCCATCAGTGCCTTCCCTCTTCTCATGAGTCATGTGTATAATCTGCACCTTTCAGTGGCCATCTGCATGCCACTCTCTCCCCCTCCTCACCACCTCTCTGTCTCTTCCTTTCCCTCCCTGCCATCCCTGCCCTGTCAGACAAGCGCAAAGCAAGGGGCGAGCGCAAGGCAAGGGGAGGGGAGCTGGTGAAGAGGAAGCGAGGGAGGTGCCAAGGGGGGGAGCGAGGGCGGGCAGCAGGGCAGCAACGCCTGGCCTCACGGACGGCCGAGATTGCACGTATCGCCCCGACACCACGCTCCACAAGAACACCCTCCCCTTTCAGGTTTAGGTTCAGGTCGGGTTCAGTTTTCAGTTCAGGTTCAGGTACAGGTTCCAGTTCAGGTTCAGGTACAGGTTTCAGTTCATTCTGTTCAGGTTTCTGTTCAGGTCAGCAGTGCCTTTAAGGCTGTGGCAGCATCCCATGCACCGCCGTTTCTCCTCTCGCACCTGTTGTCAGTCGCCTTTCTCACTTGCGAGAGTCGCTCCTTCGCACCTGACTTTCACTTGCTCTCTCGCTCCCTGCTCCTCTGCCTCTCGGGACCTTCCCTTCATACCCTGCTCGCAATGCTCACTCTCATCAACGCTCCCCCGTCGTCCACACCACCGCTGCTCCAAGTTCCCAGATTTGTGTCTTGCCTCCTTGAAACTTGCATCCTGTTCTGCTGGGTGTTCGTTGAATATGTCTGAACCTGCATCCCAGTTCTGCCATTCTGAAGGCAAAGCACCATCACCACCATCACTGCCCCATCACCACCATCAAAGCACCATCACCACCATCACTGCCCCATCACCACCATCAAAGCACCATCACCACCATCACTGCCCCATCACCACCATCAAAGCACCATCACCACCATCACTGCCAATCCCCTCATGTCTCCCAGGAGGCAGAGGACTGTGTGTCATTACAGCCAGACCTGCGTGTGGTCGAGGACTAGTTTTGATGCGCCTCAAAACTTGACTAGTTTTGGTGCGCCTCAAAACTTGACTAGTTTTGGTGCGCCTCAAAGCTTGACTTCTCCCAGGAGGCAGAGGACAGTGTGTCGTTACAGCAAGACCTGCGTGTGGTCGAGGAAGATGGGTGAAGGCCAGCACTCGCCGCCAACGCTTGCCCTACCCCCACCTTCTCATCCTCTCTGTTTCTTCTGTTTCTCCATCACCGTCAATCACTGTCCCCTCATTGCTGTCAGGAGTCAGAGGAGATTATCTCTCAGCCAAACCTGCAAGTGGCAGAAGGGGAGCACTTGCCACAACCAATTCTCTCACCAGTGACCAGTCCCATCATCTCGCCCTGCTTTTTGTTGTTGATTCCGAGCACAACAATTGTACCATCTCTGCCTCACATACAAAATAAATTTGAGTGGCTAATGAAACTGCAATGTAATAGCACCCTTCACGTCCACAATATGGTGTCCTCGGATCCTTGATCAAGGTTCACGCAGGAGAAAGTTACCTGGTTTTCATTAGGTACTGGCATGTATGTTGGATGAATCATTTGTCTTTGGTACAGTGAAAACTGTCTAAAAACTGCAATGCACTGAACAACTTTGCACTATAAAAGAAGCGAGTTTCGTGTCGCGAGGATGACCCCTGGGACCTGCCCGACAGCATCTGAGCCTCGGAGTTGCCAGATTATCAATCCTCCGTGTCACTCGGGCGTGTCTCTCCAGTGTGCTTTTTGCCACGCTTCTCACACTAGGTAGTCAGCTCCGCTATTTGCCACATCTTCAGCTTTCGTTCAGAAGCTTTGGCAGTGGCAGTAGCAGAAGCAAGCAGTCGCAAGTAACAGCAGCTTTCGTGCTTCTCCGCACGCGTGCATTCGCTCGTTCGACGTCTTCGTTCCATTAACAGCTCGGTTCTCCGCGAATCTTCACGTACAAACCCTGATGGCACACGCTGCTTCATGTTCGCGGGTTCCTGCCGCCACGCAATCTCGCATTCAATCCAAAGCTAGGTCGAACGATTGCCGAACCTGCGATGGCTGCACTCGCTCCTCTAGCCTCTGCGGAGCTTCGGCGTCCGTTACATTCGGTGCATCTAGTCAATCGAGCGCGTCACTGTTGTATTCACCTGCGC